TTTTTTTTTCTCGTCTGCTTGTGTATACATTAGTATCACTTTTCATGTTTGCACGAAAACGTTTACTTGAATAAGGGCAATGGTGGCCCATCTCAATTCTCATTTTTCGTGTCTCGATTGCACTCAACTGGGGCATATATGCGTGCTTTGGAATTTTCAATAAGCAGCATGATTTTCTGATGCTAGCAAACTTGTTCTTTGGGCTGTCTTTGTGGAGTTTCGGGATTGGGATATACCCATACTACGAGTATAAATTGATCTCCATATGCAATATAAGGCCCAGGCAAAGTAAACATGGTCATTCACACCATTTCCCAGCTTTTCCTGTATCGAGTTCCCATACACTCTTTGTCATAAAGGAAATGAATCTGTCATTGTTTGAACTTAGAAGTGTCGCCTTTCATTACACGAATGATCACTTCTCAGGCGCTTCCCAGTCATTCTTCCTTTTCGCCACGGCTTTTCCCATATTTATTCTTGGTCTTGGCGTTGTGGGCTACGACATATACACTAATGAGGAACGGGACCGGTTTCATTTTGTACAACGACTTGTCCGTGACATAGACGAGGTACTACTGTTTCAAATTCCTGCAAACCGTTTTTGAATTTGTGAAACCTTCGTCGCATGTGTTCAGGTAGGCATATTTGTCGTTGTTCCTGCCACCGCGGCGGTCCTGGTAATTCTAACACTGTTGCGATTGCATCAGTTACGAATTATGAGAATCTATCAAAACAGGAAAAGCGCTGATGATTATTTGGCAGTCGGTTCAAGGAATGTTGTTCAAAAACACCAGGTTTGTTCATACGCTCTATTTCGAAAATGTATTAATAGTGAATTGAAAAGAGATTTTAGTAATCATGAAAGCAGTTTCTCTACCAGGCTGTAAAGAAATCAGGCGTTTATTTTTCAGAATTATGAATATTTACGTCAAAATTGTATTTAACTATTCCGTTTGTTGATTTATGCTTTAGACATGCAATGTTGGCGTTTTTTTGCAAATATAAGAAGACGACCCTTCTTGAATGCAGTATCTGCGGCACAATTGCGGAACAATTCTACACTAATCCCCTCTAGCGATTCATATTTTTTCGTAAGAATCTGCTCAGCGTTAATCTTGGAGACAGTGAATTCTTTTCCCAACAAGGTTGTTTTTTGGAAAGAGCTCCGAAAACTTTCCTAATTCACGAGAACCTTGATGACCAATCTTTGAATTTTTATTGAAGATTTTGCTTCATACATGAAATATGCCTACAGATTTTTGAAAGTTCTGTTTGATCATCTTATTCATAACTACGCAGCGTTCTGACTTTTACTCAGAAAGAATCGTCATACAACAGCTGATCACCACACTGATCGTTCCAGAAATTTTTCCGTATCCTACCGCTTTCATCACAAAAATTGTATTTAAATTGCGAGCCAAACTTGAGTTTTCGCCTTGAAGACAATTTGGGTCGTATGAAGAAAGCAGCAAGAAGGGACATAGTCACATGAAAAGTCCATTCGTGAGAAAAACTGTGATGAAAGAAGTGAAGGATAATATTCTAGTCTCTTAAATTTTTACACTAAAGTATGATAACAATTACCCCACGCACATAACTCAGCCAATTTGAGAAATAGGAGTGGCTGTCGGGTGAGTACCACTTTTTGCCGCAACGATAACGCTTCTCTCACTAGGCGAAACACATTCGGCGGTACATTCTGCAATTCAAGCAATTTCCATGTTCGCCTTTCTTTAAACCTGGGCATGTGTACTATTATTAGTCAACTCTTCTGTGCCATACAGGTTTTTAATGGTGGAA